ATATATATATATATATATATATATATATATATATATATTAGTGCTCTTGGGGGCCCCCTGGTGGAGTTCTAAGCAGCTGCTTAATTCACATATGATCCAAATTAAAGCACGACAATCTAAAAACAATAAACAGAAATAAAACTCGAACATGACAGAAACCATAAATAAATTGGATTATGAAACTTCCATAAACAAAATTTCTCTTCAAGAAATTTTATTTATGGTTTCTGTAAACCATATCATTAATATTTTAATATTCTCATTAAAATATTAATGAGAACAGACATGACTGATCTAATTTTAACTGATCATGCGATTGATTGATTGATTGCTGATTCCAACAGGCTTAGCTGCAGTTAGCATAAAGTGAAGCAGCAGCCATCAGTTCTCCTGTATCTCTGGTTAAATAAAGCCGAGTGCTGGTTTGGACGTACGGTCTGTGTTTCCGTCCTGGTGGCAGAAGGCGGCCATGTTGTCAGACAGCGGATCTGCCAGCAGCAGGCTCACCTCCATGGACGTGCTCCACTCCACTGCAGGACAAACAGGAAACAGGAAGCAGGTTCAGTTCAAACAGCTTGGTAACCTGACTGCCTGATAGTTAACTAGTCAGTTGACTAATGCTAGCAATGTTGGCGCTAGCATTAGCTAACCCTCGAAGATCAGCTTCTTTGTAATACTGCGGTTTTCCTGCTGAAGCTGAATGTGAATAAATGAGCGTTTGCTTCTTGTCTATCCTGAGCCGTGTGGAGATAGGAGATGTGTGTTAGCATGTTGTGCACATGGTGGCGCTGTGGAGGCTTACAGGAGCAGGTGAGGAGGTTCCAGCAGCACAGCTGGTCGCTGCTGGTTGTTCCCAGGAGAAACTTGGAGCAGCTCAGCCGGCCGAAGCAGAGATCCCTGATGGAGGAAGAACCGTCACTCACACATCTGGACACATCGTCTGCTCTTTAAAACAACAAAATCCACTTTGTAACTCATCTTATTGTGAACCTGGAGTCTCTCTGCGTTTCTCCTGCTGCTGAGTACAGGTGCAGGTTTTTCAACCCTTTCAGTTTTCTCTATGTTCATTTGAACTGTTACATCACAGTATTTGCAGCAAAACTGCCATCAAGGTCATAAACTTCCAGCTATTTTTTAGTCCTAGTTCAAGTCCAAGAACACCAAAGCTACAAGTCAAAATGTTTGGTTGTTTGTTGTATTAGCCCACTCAAGTCACGACACCGCGGACGTCCTGGCTGCTGTTCTGCTAGCAGTAGCACTGTGCTAATGCTAGCGTTGCATGCTAGCGTGTTTTGAATATTATTAGGACATCAACAGTTTGTTGTTTCTGCCATCTTTATCTTGGGACTCCGTGATCTAAACGGATTCAGTGATGAAGCCTTGTGCTCATTCATGCGTCTCCAACACGTTCGTCTGGATGAACTGTTCTTCACCGTTTGTGGAGGGGGTGGGGCCTGACGTACCTCATTTGCATTTAAAGAGATGGTATCAAAACAAGTTGCTGTCAAACACAGCTCAGGTCAGAGGTCAAAGAGGAGCCTGAGGCGCTACAATAACCAGGAATTCAGACCCAAACATCCAGCTCAGCTTTAACTAGACCACAACTGGAGGATTTAAACGTGAAATGATTTAAAAATCCTTCAAGCCATGAGACCACCAACTGTTTATTATGGGCCGGTTCTGATCTCATTCTGAGGATTTTTATGGAAACCCTCAGAACAGAGGTGAGAGCCTCAGTTTCCATGGTTTCCTCTGGTCCGGCAGCCGTCGACTACATCAGCGTCTGGTTTAAAGAGGGCTGACCCCTATAGGCAGCCGTTATATAAGAGAGGCACCTCACAGCTGTAACAACAGCTGGAAATGAGCTTCTTCCTGCTTCAAACGTCTCATTTTAACTCTGGGGAGAGTTTGAGCCGACCTGCCTGGTTCTTTCAAACCCAAACATTTCCTCCGATCAGCTTCAATCTGAGCGTTGCAGCTCACCGCTCCCAAAAGAAAAAGAGTTGCTCGGTTTATTCTGTGGCTGAATGTGGATTATTTCATAATGAGCCGAGCAGAACCGGGCGGCACGGTTCTGGTGTCCTCTGTGACCCGGAGCTCCATGTGAGCCCAGGAACAGCTGCCAACATTACAGCAGAAACTGCAGCCAGTTCCTGCTGGGTCACAAAAAAGGTCTGAAAAACATCCAGAAATAAAAGAAAACCTCCCAGTTTAGAGCCTGCAGGTGATTTTCATAAAGGAGATTTATAGATTTCAGGTCTAAAAAGGTCAGGAGGAGTTTGAAGTTCATGACCAACATGTTCTGATCCGGTGCAGACGACCTGACAGACATTAATACAGCAAATTACATTCAGATCAGACAAGAGGAAACTCTCTGCTAATCATTATTACAGGTCCGATCCAGAGGAAGAGGGTTAGGGTAGGACTGCAGCGTGTTCATGATGCTATGAACACCTGCTAGCTGCAGCAGCACTGCTGCTGTTCTGACCTGATTACAGCTAGCTAGCAGGTGTTCATGATGCTAGCAGGTGTTCACGATGCTAGCAGGTGTTCACGATGCTATGAACACCTGCTAAAATGTTTAACATGCCAGCATGTTAAACATTTTGTTCCTGATCAATGAAAACAGTATTAAAATCTGGGATATTTTACTGTACAAAACAATCCCTAAAGATAACAGTTTGAGACTAACAGCAAACTGGCTCATGATTTCAGGTCATTACTAAATAATCTGTTAAAAACTGCAAACGGTGATTAATTAATTGAAAAACAAAACACTAAAAACATCAAAAAGGTTTGGCTTCATAAAGAATCCTTAGTGAACACAGATTTTCTCCCTTAATTGAGTATAAATGTTTTTCTGTCCTCTGGTGCCCCTAGTGGTTAAATATCTCACAGCTACAAAAGGAATTGCCCAAAATGTGTAAAACAGTGGTCCCCAACCCCCGGTC